TCACCGGCAACACTTACACACACTTATAGGTCATTCATTCAAATATATATATATGATAAAGGCTCTATGACTTTATTAATACCAGTAAGACACTGTACGTGCCACACTTAAGCTTCTTCTAAGTTAAAGAGCTCTCTTAACAGCCCTAAGTAAACGTTTTATACAAGATGACCAGCATCCCAAATGGCCAAAGCTGATTAGACTAAGGATAAGCACTGGACAGAGTCACAAACATCTGTGACTCCCAAAAGGATAAAAATCATATTTCATTCTGAGGAACAGAAATGAAGGAATAATATATTGGGGAACATAGAAGTTGATACTGGGAGAAAAACAAGGCAAGCAAAAAGTAGTACAGATGGGAAGGGAGTTAAGTCACTTTATTCAACTCTTTAGTGAAAATCAGAAGTCTATGGCTACTGCGGTCCCTGGAGCTGACTGGATCCAAATTCCATAATAATAAGGCCCCATCAGATGAATAATTCCTATTCACAGATTACTGTGGGAGCCTAGTTTCCTGTTTTGATGCTTACAAAAAACTTGCTTTATCTAAGTAGTTACTGTTCCAAGGTATGGAAGGCACACACTACAGCAACTTTTAATGGCTTATTTTAAATCTAACACATCTGAATACATCTGATATATATCTGAATATACCCTGTCTATTTACACAGAAGACACATGAAAGAAATCAACTAATTATGTAAAAGAGTGAATGCATTTTTTCAAATACAAGTACAGGCAGAAGTGTCCAAGAGAATCTTATTAGAAGATCAATACACACACACACACACACACACACACACACACACAGTCTTCAGATCCCTATGTTCATGTTGACTGATCTTCTCTTATGTGTTCAACATGACACCAAGTAGGTGGCATATATGGGCTTTATTAAGGGAAAACTAAGTCTTTAAACTGGAATATGCAGTCAATATGTCTATCAAGGATTCTCTGATTCAACATATTATTCAAATATGTTCTTTTCCAAAATATTACACATAAAAACAGCACATGCGTAACCTCTACATTGAAGAAACATGACTCAGGGAATGCAATCATAAAGAACTTTTTAAAATCCTATTTATATTAACTGGCTAGGTTTTTACCCCTGCTTCTGGGTAAAAACTTTAGTAATTCTGGTCACTGTTAAGTGACTTGAATTCCTCCAATGAGTAAAAGGTTCAGTATCATTTAATAGTCAGAACTCTGAACTTGTCCCCACTTTCTGATCATCTCCAGATTGTGAAACTTGCAGTACAACAAAGGAGATTAGCCATTTTTCTCTGATTTGTGTTTTTGCACTTCCTCTCTCACAGCTGAAACCTTCAAGGTTCAAACAGAGCAAGTGAGAACAGGTAAAGGCAGAGCAAGAAGTTCTTCTCACTTGGAAGGTCCTCTGATGAACTGGCAGAGTACTCTGAATCCAGCAGGAGTAGGCAGCTGAATTTTCCGCCTGGACCTGCTTTATCAGCTCTCTGGAGACCCACCACCCACCCATCCCACACCTGGGGACTTCTCACCTTCCTTAGACATGAGTAACACACTCTTGTCCACCTCCATGCTTCCTTCTTCCAGGCATCTGACCATATCTCTAGCTCTGCCTATGGTAAGTTCTTTTCAGTCATGCAGGGAGCTTGCTTGAAAAAAGAAATACACCCTCACCTCCCTATCTCTCTTTTTCTCTGTCGCTTACTCATTTATTTTTAATGGAGGTACTGGGGATTGAACCCAGGACCTCGTGCACACTAGGCATATGTGCTCTACCACTGAGCTATACCCTCCACCAAACAGCATCTGGTTTTGATATAAGCTGTCACTTACCTAAAATCAGAACACAGCATAGTGTCCGAGTAATTATAACATAATTATATAATATAAAATCAGATTTTATAATTACATTATAAATAAGAATTATCTTTATAATGTTTTGAAAATAATCATAATATGAAAAATCTAAATGGTAAGTAAAATGATTTTCAGAATGCAGACTTGATCAATTAAACACAGATCTGTTTATCACTTATCCATGCATTCATTTCCTCCTTTAGAAAAATACTTAGTCAATGTCTCCTGTACAATAGGAGTCTAATGATGGACAAATCAAGTTTGTTCCATTCCCTGATGGAGTCTGCAGTGTAATCCATTATAAGAAGAACATTTTTCATATTGCTCAACCCTTAGTATGTTTGGCAAGAACTGACACTGTCTTAGGGCACGAGCAGGAATGGAGGACCAACAGAGAAGAGACACAGCAAATGATGAATAAAATAGATCAGTGAGAACCCAGAACTGATCATAAATTGACAAACAGTAACAGTTGGAACCTGTGATGTTCAGAGTTAATGCCAAGAGGACTTAATGAACACAGGAACTCAT